CCCCAAAACCCCAAAACCCCAAAACCCCGAGAACTAAAATTGAGAATCAATATTTACAGGAAATAATTATAATTAATGAAATAAAGACACTCCTCTAATTATTAATAAAAAGGTTTCTCTAAAACCCCCTTTTTTTCTTCGCCTGTTCGATCTACAAAGGCTAGTATAGGGCCAAGTATCAATAATGACTTGATTCAAGATTTGCATTTTGTGCAGAACTTCGACTTTCAAAAGTAAAATCTGATGACTTGAAATCACAGAGATGCAAGGCAGCTCTATTAAAATCAATGGAAATAAAACAATTTCTTTTCTAATGAAGATATCAAGTAACTCAATTAAACTCAAAGTCGATAATCCCAGGTGCAAGTGTCAAAATTCGATATTCATAATAGATCTGGAATGTAGAGCAACTCGAACCCTATGATGTTTGTAGATCAGAAAATGCTATAGACTTTCCAAGCAACCATGCAATTGCCCCCGAATGTGATTATGCCTCCTCAGTCTGAATATATTTAGAGACAGTTAGATCAAGCACGAAAAAGTCTCAGAACTTCTAACCCTGGCAATAGAAGAAGTATCAAATCTCTAAAAACCAGAGCATAGAGCTAACTAGACCAAAACAATCATATTTATGCTCAGAAATAAACAAGGGTATAACAACAGGGGTTAAGCTACAACTCTTCTAGCCAGAAACGTCCATCACTTTAGATTAGCAATCAAACCACTTAACAACCTAAGTAATCTGCTAAACTCCAGAAGTCCCAGAGTAGCTAAGAATTACTGTCTAAAAATAAAGCTAAAGCAAATGCAAGGGAAGGTAAGGCTTAAAACATCTAGATAGAAGTGATAAAAGAATTCGAATTTAAGGATACAGAGACAAAGCCAAATGATACCCCAGCAGGGTCAAAATTCAAATTTAATTTACAGCCTCTAAAGATATCATTGATTTCTTCCCCAAAAGAAAATGATAAGTTAACTGATTCATCTTCAAAGAGAGACAACCCTCATAGCAAAGACCAAGATTAAGAGAAATAGGATAAAGTTGCTCCCTTAGATGGGTAAAAACGACCAAGTATATTGGCTTCATTTTAAAGTGCTTATCTGAACATCAATCCTGAAAAATCAAAAGATGTGTCAATAATATCTTAATCACTCAAGAATTTAATGTTTGGAAAGAAAACGACTGGATCACCTTATAATCCAATGAGAAGCAGTCCTTATTAATCCTAAAAGACACAAGGAAGATCTAATCCTTTGGATAATCTTGACACATCAATCAGCAGTGGTCCTGGTGCTTTTAAACTAGCTCCACCCTCTACAAATGAAATAATCTTAAGATCTCGACTTGCAGTGGTTGATAGAATGAATGAAAACCTGAGTGAAGATGACGATGTTTACAACGACGAGTCTTTATTTGTAGATCCTTCTATATCTACAACTAACGCACCCTAACTCTAGCTAATCAAATGACAATCATCTGAATACAAAATTCTGAATTTAACTCCAAGGAAGGCACAGATGCACTCCTTAATATCTACAAATGAGATCATAACTAATCAAATATTTGAAAGAGTGTTTCTTAATGATCTAAGTGGAATTAAGAAGCTGTTTGAAGGTTTCTAGACATTTTATGATAAGAAAAAGAAATGTAATCTAAGAGATCTCTACAAGAGAACCTGTCTGTTTTATAGTTTGTTTCACAACAACTCTTACGACATGGTAGAGTTCCTTGTTCAGAGTGGATGTGATACTTTGTACTTGGACTGCAAAGGCAGAACAGTGCTTCATTACGCTTGCATTCTTGGCTGCGATAAGAAAATCATATAATTCTTGATTGATTACAGCAAAGAACTGGACTAGTTCAGAGCTCATACAAAGGAGGCCATGGAGGAGTTTAAGAACAGACCCATCAAGAATTTCGACATGACTCCATCGACTTAGGATATTATGAAGCAGATAGAACTTTGGAAGCTCGGGATTACTACTCAGCCTTCAGAGTAAGTAAGGGGAAAGAAGAAGGCAAATAACTGTGTGAGCTTATTAGAGTATCACGCAATGGGGCATCAAACAAGCAAACTTCGAGAATACTTTCAAGCTAAAGTGGATAAGGAATTGCTGAAGCAACAGAGATAAGCCTAGATATTTACTAAAGAACAGGAGGAGCTGTTTAAGCGGTTGAAGTTTGAAAAGAAGTATAAGAAGACTGATGAGTACATTGAAAGCTTGATATAATTTGTAAACTTGGTTGACAACAAAGGCATGACTGCTCTGCACTATTGTGTTAAGAATGGTCAGGAAGAACTGATAAAGTGTCTCGTATCTAATTAAGCTAATCTACTTATCAGAGATTATAAGCTGAGAATGCCAGTTGACTGCAATATAAAGAATGATCAAGAAATAAATGCAATTTTGAGAGCTCAGAGATTAGTGTTCGAGGATGACTATACTAAAATGAAGAAATCGAAGAATACTAATGAAGTTAAGAAGTCCATTAATATGTTCATTGATGAGCCATCCAGACTGACCACTATGAAATTTCTACAAAAGAGAAGGCTAGTCATAGATTAGAAGAACCTAGCCTCTAAAAATAATAACTCACTGGAGCAATTCATTTACGGTCTCTACAAGGACAATGTCTTGACCTACTTAATGAGAATCAATGACTACCAAACTTTTGACTACATTCTAAAAAGAGGTGTGTCTCCTTTGGCATCCAACGAGAACGACATGAATGCTATTCACTTGGCAATTAAGCTGGAGAAGATGAATTTCCTAAGCTACCTGCTTGAAGGGGATTTTGATGGCTATCTGAATGATGGATTTAGTGAAGAAATTATCCAATAGAAATATGAAAACATCCTGGCAAAACTTAATGAAAAGGAAAGGTATGAAAAGAAGGAGTGGATTCTCTAGTCATTAAAGGGTCTTGATAGATGCACACTGAACGAGGGATTTACTCCTTTAATTCTTGCTTTGAAGAGTGAGAAGTAGGAGGTCTCTCATTACATTATGCAAATAGCATATGTTAGAGAAAGGCTAAGGCAGGACGAAAGCACTAATACTGATATTCGGAGGGAATTCTCAAAGTTAGAAGATTTTATCCAGTACTCAGATAAAAAGTAAAAGACAGCACTTCTGACTTCAGCTTAGCATGGCCATTTAGAATGCTTCTAGGCCTTATTCAAGATGGGTGCTAACTTCTATGGATAATGTGCTAAACTCAACAATGCTTTGCACTATGGAATAATGAGTGAAAATGAGAAGTTGATTTAGTACATATCTTGGTCAGATGCAGAGAACTCTACTGGCTATGGATACATGCACAACCAAAGAAATATAAGAGGCATGATACCGATCGACTATGACAGGAAGAAGAGGTTCTATGATACTATCTATCATGTTTGGGAGTCAGCGTCAATCTTAAAAAGCGGTACTGCTTTTGATAGACTTAATCAGCTGATCAAGAATGGAACTTATAAAGTTAATTAGTAAACCATTTAAGGATTAAATACTCCCTTGCATTTTGCAGTAATGCATGAAAACGTCAAAGCGATGCAAGCACTGTTGAAATTCCCGGGAATATAAATGAACATTAAGAATAGAGAGGGTAAGATTCCCTATGACTTGGCTCATCTTATTGCCAATAAAACTAGTTAATTCCAAATATGCAATACCTTATAAAAGGCTCTCTCGCAATAATTCAAGGTTGGTATCTAGCAGACACCCTCTCTATTCGCTAAGTTGACTTAATAAGCATCTGAAAATCAGAGTCAATACCATGCCAAGCAGGTCTCCATTAATGAAGATCATCTTCTTGATCCATCGCCTGTTAAGTAAAAACTGCAGTCTAAGAATCATCAAAAAACAATAATGCCTCATCACTAGTTTACTATAACAGAGCATGGACATCTCTATGAAAATGTGCCTTTAAAGTAAAAAGAACTTAAGATAATAGACTAGGATGAAGATTTACCACTTATTAGGATTCATGAATCAAGCAGTTCTCTAAATGAACTGGCAAGTGGAACTAATACTATGGCAAACAAGGATTCCTATCACTAAGACAATCCTGAATTTCATTCATAGCAGACCTGCAGTCCACTAGGCGGCTAATACACTTCAAGCAAACTTCTAGATGCCAGAGACATCCTTAAAACGAAACTAGCTGAATACAGTGAGTACGTTAGGAATCCACATCTACTTGTGGGAAAATTCCCTCTGGAAATATACAAGAAATGGTTTGACTAGTACAACCAAATGTATTCAAATAGAGAGCATGAAAGGCTTTCAGAGCTATTCGCTGAGATGTATGCTTCTTTGAAAGATAAACATGACTAATCGATTAAACAGTAAATAGCAATGATGTAGGCAGGGCCTTTAAAAGATGGTCAGAGAAACTCTGATGCTTACATTCTGGGAAAGAGATAATTTAACAATGAGAATTATTTGACATTTAAATAAATCGAGGGTTATATAGATCTAATAACTTAGAGATTTGAAATGAGTCCTCATGAGGGCAAGTTATTTAAAGATTTTCTGCCCATTTATTATGAAGACACGAAAATATCAATAGTTGAGTTTTGCCAAAATATGATGAACAAATTTAGGATATATTAACAGACTAAGTAGTACCTAACTGATAATAAGTGATTACTAAAGGAAATATAGTTAGATTTATTAATAATTAGATAAGATTCATTTTAGAAATTTGTTGATTTAAATGAGAGTGGGGTTTTGGGGTTTTGGGG